CCTGGCTCCAGGCTCCTTGCTGGAAGAGGGTTTTTTTAAGTGTATGAATGTGCTGAAAGGGAAGAGGGAGGTCTCAAAAGGGGCCTGTGTGAGCGTGGGGTAAGAGGCAGGTGTGGGCCGTGCTACAGAGGCCCTGCAAGGAACCTGCAGGGCAGAGCCCAAATGGGCTTGTTTTCTACATGGGTAATAAGCAAACTTCGTTTTTGGGAACACTGAGCACTTCGTGCAAACCATGAACAAGCATTTTTCTTTCTTTGCTGAAATGCAGTGACTACATGACATCACACATGTCAGCCTTCCTCCTAAAGACTTACTTTTTCCCTGTGGAAAATGCAGGGTAGGAAAGAAGGGTGGAAGTTACCTCAGGGCAGGTTCTCCAGCCTTCAGGTCTGTGTGTCACACCAACAGGTTTTCAGCTCGATGTTTCCATCCCCAGACCAGCGGGGTCTCAGCATTTCCCATTCTCCAAGGAGGGGATGCACCCAAGGCTGCTTGTCAAGCTGCTCAACTCCCTCTTCAACCCATAGGAAATGCCCTCAGGTACCAGTAGGAATCAAAGACATTTGATCTACAGGGTAGAAACTAGGTGCAAGAAAAGAAAAACAGATTAGAGCCCCATCAGAGAAGTTATCAGCTGATTTTTTTTAATTTCCATGGGGTTAGTTGTGTTGTGCAGCTCTCATCCCTGCAGGGCTGAGATCATTCCTTCAGGCTGACCTGCAGTAGGTCATCCCACTTCTGGATGAGATGGAGTTGCTTGGAGCCAGCATGTTTTTTTTAATCCAGCCCTGCCTGGTGCATGGCAATTAGTATTTACTGCAGGCTGGACTGAGTGATGGTATTTTTTTTTTCCCTGCTGTGCAGGGGATGTGTTTATTTAATCTGCCACAGAAAAGAGTGGAAATTAGGATGAGCTTCAGAAAAGAGCTGGAAGCAATTAGTAGTGTTATTTTACTGTGATTTAATTACATTCGAATTGACAAAGAAAACATGAGTGCTACAGGAGGGGGTTGCTGCTAGGTTTGAAAGGGAAGATACCTGCATTAGAGTAGACACAATGTGTTGTAATTAACCTGTTTATTATTACTGAGCTATGCATTTAATAATCTTGGGATTTACTCAGGATGGACTGAAGGAAGAACTCAGAGCAATATACAAAATTAAACTGTCCTCAGGTGTGAGCAGAACTAGAATGTGTGGGTCAGGGCCAGCACAAGACTGTGTGAGCCCAGCTCAGCTCTCTGTGGAGAGAGAACAGGGAAAATTTTATCAACAGGAAGAACAAACTAAGAACGGCCACACGGGGTCAGCTCAGAGGTCCTTCCAGCCTAAAACGCACCTCTGGCACCCCGGGTTTCTGGTTGTTTTTTTCCTTCAGCTTGTATAAATCACCTTTTGCTGGCGATTGCAATGGAGAGGGGAGGTGACAAGCCGGAGCAGGAGCAATAAACAGAAATCCAGGGAAGAGCAAGAGCACAGCAAGCCAAGGGGACAGTTCACTGAGCTCCCGTCCTGCAGCTGTTTTCTCCTTAGGAACTCGTGAAGTAAAATCAAGGGAGAAGGGATGGGTGAGAGCTGAACCACCCATCTCTAGTGTAGTGATGACACACAGAAAAGAGACCCATCTGTGCCCCTCATATCAGGGCTCAGTTTGCATGCAGAGCCGTGCTCTGAGGATGGTACTTGGGGAAGCAGAACAGCTGGTACAGATGTTTCACTTGCAGCTGCTCAGTGTAGTTACAGACACTGGGAGATGCAGTGTTCTTTGGAGCACCTCTCAAATAATCAAATGGTCAAGGTTGGAAGGGATCTTAGAGATCATCAGGTTCCAATCATCTGGCTGGTGAGGTTTTGCTGAACGTGCCATTAGATGTTTTGCACGACTGCTGCTCTGTGGTTTTTTGCTTTCACTGGCTCCAATTGAAGCGGCACCTTCTGCAGCTTTTGCACTTGTTGGCACCAGGAAGCTCCAATGTTTCAGAAAACAACATCTCAGTCCTTCCAGCAGCTTGTCATTTTCCTGGTTTAATTCCTGTAACTGTCTTCACATGGAACCCCGAAGCTGCGCTGGACATTTTGGTTTTCTGTTACAATGCTTGTTTTTGTAGCGGGGAAATGTAATCCTTCCAGTGCCCGTGTTTAAGAGGATGCAAATCAGCTTGCGAGCACAATGCCCTGGGAACGTTTCTTTCATGCAAAACCCAGCTAGATAAATAAGGAGGGGAGGAGGGAGAGGGGGGAAAGGGATTGTTTGCTGCTTTAATTACGTTCAGTAAATGACAGATGGGTCAAGATCGGAATCTGAATCTTTCTCAACGCGGGTGAAATCTTCACTCCGATCTCCGAGTTGCATCAACCCCCGTTGCTCAGCTTGTCCGGTGCCACGGAGCGGTGACAGGAGCAGTGACAGGAGCTGGGACTTGCGGCTGTCCCAGCAGGGAGCGCTAGGGCCAGCACGCCTGGCACCACGGCGGGACACAAAATACCTGCAGGAGGAATCCGAAGTGTCTCCGGATCGCACCTGTTCCCGGGAAACAGCAGCCGAGGGCAGAAAAGAGGTTGTTGCTTCCTGTGCTTTCACCACTCGGTGCTGCTGTAGGAAAAGGGACCCAGCTGAGTCCTGCTGTAACGCGACCGGCTGTGGGAAACCGTGAAACGTGTTTCAAAGCTCACAGGGAGCAGCAAAACTCCGTGGTGTAAAGGCATTTCTTGATGGCCCCGCGCCAGCGCCTGCACTCAACAGCTGCACGTGTGCTTAAACACACAGCTCAAATGATTCACTTCTCAGAAGGCAGCTTTGCTGTCCCGGTCCCAGCCGTGCAGCGTGTGCTGTGCGGGGGGGGGGGGTCGCTGGGGGCACATGCAGCTCCTGCCACTGGGCACTTGGACAGTCAGGAAGATTGTAAACATCAGAGAATAGGTGAAACAGGGGAATTACCCTGCTCCAAGCGTTTGGGGAGATCAGCTCTCCTTGTTTGTCCCCAAATAAGAGTCACACCCAAGGACTGCTGAAAATTGCTGCTCTCCAGGTCCTGTTCCCACCTCTGCTATGGAACTAGTGGGTGATCTGAGAAAAGTCCTTCTGCCTCCTGCCCCCTCCTTCCACCTTGCTCCTCCAGCCAGGGCTTTGTCCATTATTTCACATTTCCCAACTCAATTTCAAACATTTTTTGAAAGCAAGTGATAGAAGGGCAAACTCTTATTATTGCTCTTGAAGAGCCTTTTGCAAAGATGCTTGTTAATGAGCTTGCTTAATGAGCTTTCTTAAATCTATATTTATATCCTATATACAGCTGTATATAGATAGAGCAATGCCTAAAATATATATGGATGGCACACATATGCCTGGGAGAAGGAAGGCTGCTTAACACACATCTTTTTCAGTTATTACAGTGCAAGTATTTCTTCCTGTCTCCTTGAAAATTAGAGAGATAAAAGATTCATTCTGGAATAAAATAATTCCATGCATGTGCTAGATGGTTTTGTTTATGAGACTGAAGTATGTGTGTGTATGAGAGACAGATGATGTGTCTGTTTGTGAAAGATATGATGCCTGGATGAATGTGCGTGAAAAATACAGGTTTTTTAAGAGCTACTCTCTCTTTTTTTAAAAAACAAAAAAAGACAAAATAACAAATGTCTGCTCAGTACATTATTTCACCCTGTCATGCTCTTTGTCAATATGACAGAGGAGTGTTCCTGCAGAAGGCAAAGCTGCCCCAGCCAGTGCAGGGTGCTGCCCCCAGGGTTTCGAGCTGGGCATCGTGAATTCCCTTCAAGTTTTCAAAGTCCTGGAAAGTTTTGATAAGCAAATACTTTCTGAGCTCTGCTTCTCTATTGGTCGCTTCTTCACCGCCAGATTTTGACACAAATAATCTGATTGAAAAATCAGGGAGGGGAACAGGGGCAAAAAAAAAAAAAAAGCCAACAACACACAACAAAAAAAAGCAGAGAGAGAAAAAAGGAGAAGTGTCTATTTCAGCAGACTGCGACGGAGTGAAAAAGTGGAAGAGGAGCCTGGAGAGGAGACAACGTCTTGCTTGTCTGGGGAGATTTCCAGGCAAATCCAGTGAAGCAAAGTCCCCCAAACAGGTGATTGATTTATTCTATTAACCACTTGTAAATTCATTGCTTTTCTCATTTCTCTTACCTGTTTCTACAAGCTTTTTCTTCTTCTTTGCTTGTGTTTGGAAATAAGTAACATGTTCCTCTGCATAAGTTACTCGTCCTGAGGATTCCTTTATGATAATGGTTCACTTAATTCAAGTGAGTCAAACCTTTTAAAAATCATATATCATATACCTGCTTAAATCTCACATGTGAAAAATGGCAATAGTAGAATAAAATATGAAAGATATGACAGTTGTCACAGGTACCTGTGTCCCAGATAGGAATAGTTTCTAGATGTAGAATTTTATACCTAAGCACTGAGGAGAGAGCAAGGCTTATTTTTTCTTTTAATTGCTCTTTCATAAGGCCAGACCTTTACATTTAGAAAAGAGCACCCCTCTGCTGACATCAATTAATCTGTCAGTTTTGCTAGGTGAGAATTCAGTCTCCTGTTCAGGATTTTTGCTTCAAATCTCTAGTATTTTTCAATCCTAAGTATTTGCCAATTAGTCTAATGATTTTCAACATATGGAATTAGCTATTTATAGATGTTTCTCATACACCACCAGATTGATTCGATACATCAAGCAGGAAAGCAAATGATTTGCAAGTTCACACAGTAAGTGCATCTATACATATGGATATAAAATTTGTCAAATTCCACTATTTATCCATGGAAGCTTAAGGCAAAGTTTGCTAAAGCCAGTGGCATTCCCAACATCACCAGGAGCTAAATGAGGTTTCTAATGAGCAAATGTTTTAGTTATATTCTAAACATTTTTCCTAGATACTACAGATATACAAGCATTTCTGTCCAACTTCTTGGGCAAAATTTCCACCATAATTTGCCAGCCCTTCCATAATGTCCATTTCCCCAGTCTTATCACAGGAATTAAAAATGTTCTGCTCATTTTTCCACCCAAAAAGCAACATTCAAATGACTTGCCCCAAGTATATTTCATTTTTTGCAAGGGCAGACCAATGAAGACATGATTAATTTTGTTGCAAAGAATTTGAATCCTTTTGAATATGACTTTAGATTTAGAATCAAGAGTCTGTAAAACCTCTTCTTTTATTTGGGCTCTTAAAAATGTCAGAGGTCATGTTCTATTTTGTGCTTTTCTTTTTTGAAAAGTCTATTTTTGGAAGCTTCACCTTTGCCAGAAAGAACAGAAAAATATTAATATTAAGATTCAAATATAAATTAAGCAATAGGAAGGAAATATGTCTCTTTTAGCCTAACACTTTGTATACTTATCAACTTAAAGGAAGACAAGTATCAGTCACAAGTTAAAAGTATTTCTGCTGAGCATAGTGAGGAAAAAGGGTTTAATCTCTGCAGTTAACCTTGTACATTTTAAAATAGGATTACTTGAATTTAGAGCAAAAGGAAAGTCAGTTTTAGAATGGAATTTACACTGCAAATGGGGTTCCTGATTCATCATGGCACAATCCTGCAAACACCTATCCCAGATCTAGTGTTTCATGTTAGGAATTGTCTCGGAAGGAGCCACCAAGAACAGGTCCATCATCTCATTCAGTGAGAACATTCATTTATTCTATATGATGTGAAAGGACCCAATCCTATATATTTGGGTCCTGTGAGCTGCCGTGCAGTGAAGTGGGAGTTAGGGATACTTGAGGAATACAGGATCAAGTGAAATTAAGATCCTGAAGTCAAAAGCCACCCCCTAAAAAACCCACAAAAACACACCCTTCTAATTATGTTCTTGCACAGTCTCCAGTGTTTCCGTGTTAGATTCCAGTTTTAAATGTGACACTCTGAAAACATCACCAGAGAGCATCACTGAGGACGGAGGAACCCTGAGTTTGGACATGGAAGGTGACCCACCAGCACTGGGTCTGCTTTTGGATCTGACTGGGGAATTTGCAACTGGGCAATTAAGCCCCTTCAAAGGTGCTTCAAGTTAGGTACCTAAGGCAATTAAGCCCCTTCAAAGGTGCTTCAAGTGAAAGCAATGAAGCAGGTTGTTTTTTTTTCCCTTGAGTCCTTCTGGCTGGCTTTTCCTTGGGGCAGGTTACTACAACATTATTGTCCAGCTGCATGAATGGCAAACAAGAATGTCCATTCTCACTGGCTGCTGCTTTTCTATTCTGCATTGAATCCAAAAAACTCCACGACACCTGCTTTTTTGAGTAGGCACTCCTGCCCAATCAACTCCCTTGCCTGCCAAGGCAGAAACTGCTGCCATAGGGGCTGACAACAACAAATTGCATTAAAATAAACTTTAGCTTCAACCTTTTGCTAAACATTTAAATTCTGCCAGAAGCTTCAATGACTTTAAGAGTCCATGGAGGCTCCTGTCCATAGCCCTGCTCTCCTTCTGAAATACCATCAGCCATTAGGAGCAGCTGATCACTTGGTGATGATAATCTTGAGTTTCAAGGAGAGATAGTATTTTTTTTTTCCTCTCACAATCTGTGCTTCTAGCTTTCCTCTAACTGGGTTGTGTGAATCACAAAGACAGTCCAATGCAGTTGTTAATTAACTAGGCTTTGGGCTCCCAAGTTCCTGTTTTCTCCTTAAATTGGGTGGGGGAAGGTAACTTCCTTTTGTAACGTTCAGTACTGCATTGAGGATCGTTGTGCTCAGTAAAGGCCCTTATCAGCAGCCAAGATACTGGCTCAAATTTGACTTTTACATCTGCTGGGGCAAACACATTCAGAAAAATCCTGTTGATTCATTGCATCTACTTGCAACCACCATCAGAAAGGAAGGGCTCTACCTGGTGCCTTCATGTGCTTAGCCTGTGGATGCTGCCACAAAATACTGCAAGACTGCTAATGTCACCCATCTCCAGTCCTCTGATTTACCTGGTTAAGATGCCTGGCTGATGTCTTGGGGTCCTCCAGTTGGCAGGAGGAAGGATGACTCTTCCAGTGGGTGCTACTGTGTGCAGGCTCTCACCCTACATTCCATTACCTGCTGCAGGAGCTTCTTCCTCTACTGGGTGGGAAGCCCAGGGAAATTAACTGATTGATTCAGGCAGAGAAATCAGATGTCTAAAGCTCACTGGTATGAATACCCTCCATTGTGAACACAGCCCTGCCCCACCACACAGGAAAATCCCTTAGACACGAGTGGAAATTCCATGTGTAAAGGGCTTGGGGCATGTCTGTATTGCTGAGTGGCTCCACACACAGACACCCCCTCTGGGGCTGACCCTGGGCAACCAGACCCTCTGAGCCGAGCACTTTTGGAATGTGGGGTGCACAGGCTGAGCAGAGAACACTCTTGGAAGGGTCCTGTCTGTGGCAGGACATGCTGGGGTTTGTACCAAGCTGGGGTTTGTGCCAAGCTGGAGGCATTTCTGTACTTGCCAGCCTTCCCAGGCAGATAGACATCACCATGCTTAGAAGGAACCTCACTAGAGAGCAAACACAGCCATGTACTTCAGTGCCCCTTCCCTCAAGGGCACACTTGTGGTTCATTCTCAGAACTGTTTTGTCATCTTTCTTAAATTAACAAATCTACTCTGGGCCTCTTTTTTCTTTTACTCACCTCAAGTTATATATAAATTTATTGGAAGACAATGAAGAAAAAGAAGCAAGTCATTTCAAAAGGGAAAATAAAATAATGGTTAGAGACAGCAAGAGTTATCCCTGAAGAAACAGTGGGAATCCTGGACCAGATTTAGAAAGACAGCTCAGCTAGAACTGCATTTCCAAAGGCTGGCAAGCACCTCTCACTGGGAGCAGCAGGCTGGAAGCCACAGCAGCCCCTGTGGTGTGAATCCCATGGGACACATACCTGCAGCAGTTAGTCCTGCTGTGAACCTGACCCTGGGATCTTTGAACCAACCAGCACTGGGCTGTGTAATTGTATTTAGTGTGCAGGGCTAGTGCAGGCTTTTCTGAACCCCAGGGAGCAGGTCTCCTTCCCTGGCTGTTTGGGATTCCAGGAACCCCCAGTGCATTCTCCTGACTTACACAGACCTCTCAGGTCACTCCTACTGAACAGGAGCAAACTTTGGTTTGTTATTTTTAATAAATAAGTAGGTTACACTTCAATTGCTCTCAGGAAGAAACCAGAACTTGATAACATTTTCACATCCCTAGAGAGCCAGGACTTGCTGCTGACTTTTCATATGAAATATTGCAAGATTTGATTTTAGTGCTACTATCCTGAACAATTACAAGGCAAAATGCAAATACGTATGCAAATAAGGCACCAGCTGATCTTGCTGTCCACAGCATCCAGCCTGTTGTCCCACTGTCTTCACTGGAAGAGCCACTAGCCCTGGGGAGCAGGCTCAGGGCGGGCTGGGCTCTGGGTAGTGCAGATAACAGATGCATTGCAAGAGAATTTTGTATGATTAAATTTCAGCATTTTATGTTTGTCCCTGAGCCACCATTTCAACGGTCTGTGAGATTTGAGTCAGATCCAGAAGGTAACTTCTCTCTCACCCAGCACAGCCTCTGCTTGGCTGTTGTTTGTCAGCCAGAATATAAAAAACAGCTGCAACCAAAGAGAAGGAAGCCCACCCCACATCATGGCTGATGGGATTTTCTACTGTGTTTCTCCTCTTATTGATGGTGTTTCTATTATTATTTTTTGTGTAGCTGTTTCATGGAGGAGCCCATGTCATGGCTGGGGGACTGACTGCTTTTCTAGGTGCAGTACAAACACTCAGACTCTCTCAAAGGGGTGGTCTCCAAGCCATGGACCCTACTCTGTCCCCTCAGGGAGGGTAAGGTCAAAGATGCACCATGTCCTGTAGCCAGAGCAGAGAACTACAACACAGATCCTGGGTTCTGATGTATCTTATGGTGGCACTTGATGATCTTCAAGGTCCCTTCCAACCAGGGCGATTCTATATTTGCTACAGACACAGGTTTGGTCTGTAAATAATTTTTTTTTTGCTTAGTCCCCTCCACTGCTCTGTGTTTTCCCCAGAGTCAAGATCCATCATGCAACCACTCCCTGCTCTTCAGCTGGGTAGAGGGACCTTCAAGATGAACTGTGTCTCTAGTAGAAGAGTTAATTCTGCTGCATACAGAGCTGATGTGCTGGGAGAACAAATGAAAAAATTGCACACCCCCCCCAAACCACAGATTTACCTGATGCTTTTCTGTATTTCTGCCCAGGCAGTGAATGGAAAATGCCACGTTCCTTTTTGGTGAAGAGCAAGAAGGCTCATACCTACCATCAGCCCCGCTTTGTGGAAGATGACCTGTCTGTGCTCACCTGGGATCCAATCATTTCTCCCTTCCCTGGTGAGTCAATCCACCCACTGGGCTTGTAAGAATACACCAAGGGAAATCAATAATTGAGCAGGTAAACTAAGGGAGGGGGACAAGTGAGCTGAAGAGCAACTAGAGGCTTCCACACAGGGATGTCAGTCAAAGGACTGACTGATCCCCCACTCTGTGCCCTCTTTCTCCAGGCCAAATCCACACTATCCCACTGAACCCAAATTTAGATCCTCCCTTTGTTTCCTGCTTGGGAGATTGGAGATGTAAGGTTACTGTGTGGTCATGTTTAGAAAAAGTGGCCAAATGGAGGCAGCTGGCAGTTGGGACAAGAGCTTGCACTTGGTTGTCTGGCTTCCTCAAACTCAGCTCTGCCACCTCCATCTCCAGCTTGCTATGGTCACTATCCATATTCCCCCTGGACCTACATCTCTACCTCAGTGTGTTACCACCTCCTCCAGATAAGGAAGGGTACAGTTAGAGTGAGAAAACACTAGATGGCTGCTATAAACTATATGAACACAAACCAACACTGCTGCTGCCTCCCTCTGCTCCTGTTCATGCTCTCCCACAGCCACCCATGCAATTGATGCCCCAACAGGGCTGGGACAATTCTCTTCTTCCTTCAGGAACCATTCAAATTCCCTTCATTCAAATCTAGGCTCAATTTACCCTTTGTTCTAGCCCTGGCTATCAAATTCTAGCCCAGCCCTATGATAAGTTTGATAAAAAAGAAAAGGAAATTTTAATTTCCAGTGCTGGCATCATCCTTTGGCCATTTGTTGTGTCTCACTGGTGCACAAGAGGGTTTGGACAACAAATGGATACTATTCTTCAGCAGCCCAGTCCCATCTCCAGCTGAAAGGAGGCACATCTATTGAACCTCTGTCCATTTTAGATTCTTACTATAAATTCTACTCCTAAAAAATGCTGGTTGGTCTCTTTAAGGGCTGGGACAAGCATGGAGAAGTATGTGTGGGCAGGAGGAGACAAGGCCCTGTGGTCACCTTCACAACTGCATAAGCAGTTACCTCCCCTTTCTGCTTCCCTATCCATAAGTTTAGGTTAACAATAGTGAAATTTCTTACAGTAAGGGTGGAGAGGTTAATAAGTTAGTGATTGTTAATTATCCACACAAATGAAAATAGTTTTAAATAGGGAAATTATTCTTACAGACGTCCCCCTACTAGGGTTAATTTTCTGTAGATATCAAGTGTCCCATGATTTCTTCCTGCCCCACTCTACCTTGCCTATCTCATCCTGCTTGGAATTTCCCTTTCTTAGCACTGAACAGACCTTGATTGCCATGATGATTACTCCACCCTGCACTTATTCAGGGAACTGAGCATGGGCTCATGTATCCAAGCATGAGTTCATACATAAATACAAAACTCACCTTAACAGGCTCCAGAATAAACTAACTGTGACTCTCCTGTGTGATTACAGCCAGAGGAGACAAGACACCAGAAGACATCAAGAAACAAGACCTACAACACATGGTTCCAAAACAAGAACAGGACTTATCTGAACCAAAAGAAGAAAGTGTCCCTGTCCAGTACCTGAGCAGGATGGTACCAGGCCCTTCAGCTCAAGGTTTGCCTCCCAAGAACACAATTCCAAAAGAGGTCAGGGCTGGGCTGGTTTATGGAGCCCCTAATGGCTGGGTCCAGATTTTGAGTAACTGACAGACCTTCTTTTGACATCAGTGGTCAAATTTGCACCAGGCAGAGCTCTCCAGGAGCATTCTGTATTTCCCTTCACAATTCTGGTCTAGATCAGCATCTCCCTGAGGGATGATGCTAAGATTCCCAATGAGTGAGCCCCCAGACCTCAAGGACTAATGCAATTCCATGCTCAATGGGTCAGGGTGAGTGGCCACATGATACTTGTTGAAACACCACATGAAGCAGGGCTAGTGGGTAGGTGGGGAGCAATATTCCCACAGCATCCCTTCTCCCCTAAAATTTCCTCAGACTGAAACCAGCATCATGATAGGTACATTGCCTGGGGATCAGGATTTGAATCAAGGAAGGAGGAGGTTACCAATTGCAACTCCCAAGGTCAGGCAGGACATTGCATGGGGGAATGGTACCTGTGGAGCATTTGTACTGGTGCCCAGCTGCAGGCAATGGCACAACACTCACTTCTGTCTCTCCTTTGCAAACTCAGAGCTGGCCATCCCAAGTCTGCAGATGAAGGACTGCACCAACATGACAAGCACCTTCTACAAACCTGGCTTTTCTTGGGATGCTTACCACCTGCCCTACAGCTACCAACAGATGTCTTCCACCATGCAGTCAGCCCTCCTGGAGCACCCAGTTAGCCTGTATGGAAGCCACCTCCTGCCCAGTGCTGAGCCTCCTCTGGATTACAGCATGCATTACTCCCCTGACATGGAGACCTACCACTGTGTGAAGTGCAACAAGGTGTGTCACAGAGGAGAGCCTCGGGGATGGGGAAGGCCTGGAGTGATTTTCATTGCACACATCAGTGTTTGACTGGGTTACACCAAAGTGGGTCAAAATGGGCACCTACGTGTCCTTCTGACTAGGGGACAAGGGTGCTGGGAATAATGCAGCTCACATGGCCCATGAGTGGGAAGAATCAAATGAAGAGAAGGAATTGAGAACAGAAAGGGAAACACAGCTGCCTTATTTAAAACAAATAAATCCCCGGCATTTTGTTTTGCAGGTGTTCTCCACTCCCCATGGACTGGAGGTCCATGTCAGAAGGTCCCACAGTGGGACCCGTCCCTTTGCTTGTGAAGTGTGTGGGAAAACCTTTGGACATGCTGTGAGCCTGGAGCAGCACACCAACATTCACTCCCAGGTGGGCAATGTGCTTCCAGCCAGCTAACTCCCTAGAGCTCAGGAGTGCTGGGACTGGTGCTTACTCCATGATAAAGGAAGTAACATTCCCTAAGTTACAAACGTGGTGGCTTTCCTGTAAGAACCAAATACCAGTGACAGCAGCTCTGAAGATCATAGGTCTTGGTCTCACAGATCTCAGACTGCCCTGGAAAATGCCTTGGATAGGAGGATTGTTGCTCCTGGTTCTCCTGTGCCTCACCTCCTCCCTAAAGGGCACAGGAGTTAGATCACAAGATGGAATCCATTTCCATAAGTAACCCTCCTGCATTCCCTGCACCCAGCCCATCAGTCCACGAGCCAAGGAGATTTGCTTATCAAATCCAGTAATTCCCAACACTCTGAACACTCTTCAAGCTCTGTCACATGTCTTGCAGCCAACAAAGATCCCATACTTTTCCTCCCCTAACAGGAGAGGAGCTTTGAGTGCAAGATGTGTGGGAAGACATTCAAACGTTCCTCCACCCTCTCCACTCACCTCCTGATCCACTCGGACACGCGGCCCTACCCCTGCCAGTACTGTGGGAAGCGCTTCCACCAGAAGTCAGACATGAAGAAACACACTTACATCCACACTGGTGAGAAACTCAACATGCCCAGTATGCAAACTGGAGTCCGTCACAGTGATACACATACACAGTGCCCAGAGATACTGGCCTGGGGATGTGCCCAGTGGCACTGGAAAGTCATTCTTCCCTGTGAGGTGAAACAGCAGCAGGTCCAAGTATCTCTGAGCTGCATGTTCTCTGTGTGACAAGGAGGTGGTTCCTGACCAGCCTTGGGTGCATGTCATGGTTGTTCCCAGCCCTGGATGTGGATGGGACAAGGGCCACAGAGCTGGAGGAACCTCTGGTTCCTCTCAGCCTCTGGTGCAGAGGCATTAGCAGGAGAGCTGGGCTGACACCGCCCTGCATCTCAAGTAGAGCCAGTCAGCTCTGAGTCTAAAGGGCATTTCTACCTCCCTTCTCTCATCTGTGAAACTGTTTCTTTCCATTTTCTCTGCCCTGCAGGGGAGAAGCCTCACAAATGCCAGGTCTGTGGCAAAGCCTTCAGCCAGAGCTCCAACCTGATCACTCACAGCCGCAAACACACCGGCTTCAAGCCCTTCAGCTGTGAGCTCTGTGCCAAGGGCTTCCAGCGCAAGGTGGATCTGCGGAGGCACCGAGAGACCCAGCACACTCTCAAGTGAGGGATGGCTCCAGGGTTTTGCTGGAGCTCCCACTGCCACTCCATGCTCCAGGGAAGATGACTCTCCCCAGCGCCTCCAGCCAAGATGGGGCTGCCCACCTCAAAGCTCATCAAGTGTCCTGTGTTCTCCTGGGGACCAGCAAAGCCATGTCATTGGCTTTGGTGTTCCAACACCCCAGGGCCTTGCACATCCCAGCAGCTGATAAAGAAAGCTCTTGGGACTCTCACTTTTCAATTACAACAGCTACCAGCCCAGACCTGACATCACCAGCACAAATCTAGAGGAATTCCTCCAAGATCACTATGACTCTGGATTTGCATGTGCAGAAGTCAGTTCATCAGCCTGACCAGCAGTGAGGTGGGAACTCCTGGGCTAGTGGCAGCAACAATCTGTGCCAAGCTAGTGCTGTAACCATCCTCTGCTTTATGGTTAGAGCAGCCTGTGCTCAGTGAGCTGTGTTCCACCTGGACAGGACTTCTGCAGAGACTTGCCCGAGTCAAAATCTGACAAAAGACACTTCAAGTAATTTTCTTTCAAGCAGAGCATTTACTGTGATCAAATGACATGTTAACTGTGTTGTATTTTTAGTTTGGAGTGGGAGGAAAATACTGAAAAACCAGCTTGTATCCCTAGCTGGTGCCTGGGGTCTCAATGCATCCCTCACACGTGCCATGCTGCAAAGATCCCTGGGTTAGTAGCAACCAAGGGAGCTCCAGGAAGAGCCATCCCACAGCACTGGGCACCAGCTGATAAGCCCCCTGTCTCAGTGCCATGTGTGAGGGACTGGCTGCTCTTGGAATCCAGGCTGGCATGTCCCACAATATTTCACTGTATGCTGGATGTGCTGGCTTCACACTGTCCTGGGCAATCCCATGTCACTGCATGGTCAGGAATGGCCTTTGGATATCAGTGTCAAGGGCCAGGATTCTGCTTTCCAGCTGTTCTCCTAAAGGAGGAGGTGAGCTGCCTGTACTCATTAGCTGCCATGCAAGTACCTTACAAATATTATACAGAGCAGGGGTATTTCCTTCTTCCAGGTCTAGGGGGTGAGGCAAAGCACTGGAACAAGTAAAGAGCCAGTTCTCCTCTGAGCTCTGCTGCCTTCTCACTATACAACCCTTGGCAAGTCACTGCACTGGGCTTTTATTCCTCCACCCCTCCTGGTGATGGGGAGTAATTCACTCAGGTTTGTAGAGTCCCCTGAGTTCTTAATTAGAATCAGGATGGTTTAAGTTGGAAGGGACCTTAAAGATCATTCAGTTCCAACCCCCTGCATGGACAGAGACACCTCACATCAGCCCAGGCTGCTCCAAGCCCCATCCAACCTGCCCTTCAACACTGCCAGGGATGGGGCAGCCACAGCTTCCCTGGGCAACCTGTTCCAGGGTCTCACTACCCTTTTTTCTTTTTTCATTAAGAAGTTGTAAAGCATTCTAACCTGAATCTCCCCCTCTCCCAGTTCTCAGATTTCCCATTAAAACCATGCTGTCCATTCCTGGGTCATGCCAGAACATGGTCAGGGCAGGGACTCCAGGGAAGGGGCACAACCTGGGACAGAACTGGGCTTAGGAAACTGGTCCCCAAGTTCTGGCTGTGACACCAGGTGCACACACATGTGAACACTCACACATGTACAACCCTCACTCAAGGTAAAGATATTTCAGCTTATTAAAACTGCTGCCAAAAATGCAAACCATTTTTTTTTATTCCCCTCCTCCTCCACAAATCTGCAAACAGAAACACTTAAAGTGCATGTCAGTGTCTGAACTGCTCAGGAGCAAATCCCCTCCAGCCCCAAAACAGCTGGGCAGACTGTGCCTGGGGACAGCAGCTGTGCCTGACTCACCTGAAGCTCCCCAGTTGTGGCCATTCTGGAGGGAAGTTCTGGCACACACCAAACACCACCAGGACAAGACTGCCTGTAAAACCACTCATAAAACCAAATCAGGCAGCTGGTTCTCCTGAGCCTGAACTGTATCTATTACATTTCCATCCCTATCTTTGATTTCCATGTTGTAGAAGAAGTATAACCCCCAACAGGCAGCTGGGGTCTGCTAAGGCTGAGCTTCTCCAGCCTGCTTCTCCCTTCTAACAAAGCACAGATCACCCCAGTCCTGCCTTTTCTTTCCCCAGGACACTAGGACAGGCAGCTGCTTTCACCTTTATTGTGGTTACTGAGCCCAGAGATCAGTGAACAAGAGTGACACTGCAGGAGGTAGTGCCAGCCTTACCCCTGTCTTTGTGAGGAGCCTGGTGAGCACAACCCCAGGAGATGCAAGGACAGCTTTTGATGGATGGGCAGCAAGTGGAGAAACATTGGGATGACTCTAAGCTGTGCAGAGCCAGGGTCAGGAAAACATGACTGGGGCCAAAGCAGCCCCAGGGCCTGGACTGACCCACTGGTGCAGGCACTGGGAGCCTATCTCCAGAAACACAGGCTGTGGATGGGGTCCAGCTGGCAAAGGTGCCAGCCTGACACCACAGCCAGGGACAGGAGGTGACCTGAGAAGGGAGGACGAGGAGAGGGAATTAACTTGCAGAGTTTTCCACTAAAACACTACAGTTTCTTCCTCTTGAGTAAGAAGGTGCCACTTTCTGACCAGCAGGTAATGCTGCCTCAGCCCTGTCCCTCCTGCAGCTCAAAGGGAAAACGAGGCAGAGTCCCACAGCCCCTTGGTCACTGCAGCCTCTGATCAGGGAGAGCTGGCCCCTAAGGAAGAGGATGGAAGGACCCAGCTTGGCTCTGCCCCAGAGCAGGCAGCAGAACACTGCACAGCTCCCTGGGCTTTCACCTGCACCTCCTGAAGCTCTGGAAATGCAGGTGAAGTAGCAGATCTGACATTACCCAAATGTCACCACACCAGGCTGGGGAAGAACCTTCCACTCCCAGCACAGCACCAGCCACAGGCAGACCTGCTGCATGGAGCAGGCAAAGGGCTTCCCTGATCCTCAAAGCTTCTGAGCCCATACAACAGGTACCCAAGGATGCTCAGCACCTGCCAGGATCAGGCCATGGCTCTCAACAACTCCAAACACACCTGGCCTTGTTCTCCAAACATGCAAATACTCCCCACTTCTGACTGCTCTGAAAACAACCCCTTTCCCACCATCTCCCCTTGCACCAAAAAACACATTCTGGTCAATCAATCAATCAAGGAAACAGATAAAAAGCAAAATCTCAACTAATCTTTGTGGCTGAAGAAAGAGTTGATTGTTTCTGCCTTTCTCCAAACCCACCCTGTGTCCTGCACTTCCCCAGTCCTCTTCACACCTTCTTCCCTTTAGTGCCAGGGAAAGAAAATCCTGGTCTCTGGGCTGTTTTGTTTAGCAAATGAGGGACATGCAAATCATTAACCCCGGGCATCTGTCAGAAGGAGAGAGGTGCCTCTGTCTTCCAGACAGCCTTCAGGTGCTGAGAGCAGCAGCCCAGAAATACTATCATCAAGGGCAGATTTAAGGTTGGACATGGGATGCATCCCTCTCTTCCTAATGAAGACAGAGCCAGGAGACACCTGCAGGAAGCAGAGGTGTGTTCCCAGTTAGCACAGCTTGACACTGGAGCCCTAGAGAGGGCAAGACTCTGAACTTTTCACATTGTGTTGGCAATGGCTAGGGGAGGCCTAAAAGGGACTGAGAGGAAGGACAGGGAAGAATAAGGTTCCAGTTCCTTATAGGTTGTATTGGAAAAAGGCAATTATTTGCTGAGTTGAGTTACTTTCTGCCCTGGATTTCACTAGAAAGTGTTTTAAGTGGAAAAAGATAAGAGTCTCCTGTCCTTGCAGCAGGTCATTCCCCCAGGGCCAGGCAGTTGTAGGTGATGAGGACACACCAGCAGGTCAGTCCTAGCCCAGCACACAAGGGGAAACCTGAGGACTCTAGACACTCTGCCAGAAGCAGCTGCAAACACACATTTCCTTGTGAACATTCCTGCCCACCATTAAGAGCCTGACCTGGGAACAGACAGGGAGCCTGACCTGCAGAGCTGCTACAGAGTCAAGGAATACACCACACAAGTTTAAAATCACTTATTCTGCTCACAAAGCAGAGATGTTCCTGCACTTCCCCCTGGAAAAGCACACGCACACAGAGGAGACAGCCCAGAACAGCCACACCAAAACTATGCATAGATGAGTCAGTGGCCTCTGTGCTGGATGAGATGTAAGAAAACACAGGTCCCTGCAGAGTTCCTGACCCACCATCTCACAACAAACTGCCAACCAAGGACACACTGATCTCAAGGCTGAAACCCTGAACCAAGACTTAAGACTTGCCACATGCATCACCTCGGGCTGGCCACAAGCTCTGGGTTTCTGAAGTTCAGCACACCATGAAGCTCACAGAAAGCTTCACCCCATCTGTGGCAAGAGGATAATTCCCCCTCTCCCCTTCATTTCACTTGTTTTTTTCAATGGTAAGATAGTCAGGAATCAGGCTGCTCCTCCTTATCTTCCACATGCAGCACCTTACACAATGGAGCCTTGATCTGGGCTGGAAGGCCTCAAAAATGAGATACTAATAATGAGTGATAGAAACTTAATTCAGCAAAGCAACCTCATTCTGTAACTGCCTTGGAAAGGAGCCCTCCCAGAGTGCACAGTGAGACCCTGACATCAAAATCACTGAACTGCCAAGTGAGCAGAAGCACAGAGGGGATAAACCAGCCATGAGCAGCATTTCCACCAGTGAATAATATTCCAGAGTGAGACCCAGAGCTGGACATGGGTGCTACAAACATCCCACTTGTCCCCCTCATTGTCAAGGTGTTACATTCCACACAAGCGTTTTTCAATCTGGTCCTTGGGCTTCTTCTGACCTGTTGGCCCCAGGGTGATCTGTGCTCACCGTAGCAGGGCAGGCAGGGAGGAGAGAGTCCCCAGGAATGGGGAAATCTGAGGCTGGGGAGGAGCTGAGCACACGCTGAGCTCAGCTTTGCTCTGATAAGTTTATCAAGCCCTGCCGGCTGCTAACTGTCAGCTGGGGAAGCAGGCCTGTTAGGGAGGAGGAACAGCTCCCAGGGCAAGATAGGACAGCCCAGGCCTTATCGGGGTGCCTGAGCCAAAGAGGGAACTGCAGGGTGAGCACTGTCCAACCACTCCATCCGAACAACAGGCAGGTTGGCGGCAACAGCCCATCAGGCCTTTGCTTCTGCTGCCACGCATGAGCAGGGAGCCCCCATCATCCAAACAGCCCTGGTGAGCACAGCACAGGGCTGCAAATGGGAGCACTGGGGCCTGGGGGAACACGTGGGGTAGGTTTTCTCAGGAACATTGGCAAG